AATCAGAAACCCAGCACAATAGTTGAGCTCCCATTCTGCTTGACCTTTGATTTGACACAGATCCATTTCAGACTTTTGTCTACGACTGAACTGTCTGAGTGTTAGTCAAAAAGCACTGGGATTCCACCTTTGAATTATGTCTGTCTAGAAAAAATGCCACCTCTTCTCACCTCTCTCCTACCCTTCCATAACCAACTCGTTGCACTCCATGATTTTTTTCCCTCAACGAAGTAATCACAAGTAAAAAAGGAAAATAGAGAGAAAATGCTGTCCATCCTTAAACATCTATGTCCAGTCCACTTTGCACTTTTATTTGCTGTGCTTTTCCCCTCACCAAGTTATTTATAGCATCCAAGATAACTTAGGGACAATTGCTGTGGAGGGGTGTAAACTGGCTGCAAGAGGTTGGAGAGCAATCAGAAAAGTCAATGGATCATTTTTGTCTTACCCACCAATTTCGAAACGTGTTCCAGGTAAGTTTGGTATTTCATTAGCTACAGTAGAGACAATTAAAGCAATTGAATCCAAATGACTCTGGAGCAAAACCTGGGCCATAAATGGGATATAACATGAGATGTTAGCTCCATGAATGATTGTAGTCACTCAGTGACTATATAAACTGATCAGAAGTTTCTTCTCATCATAATTTGGCCTTTTATAAGCACTGCTGCATGCACCATAGTAAATCAAGGAAAACAATTTAAGAAGTAGAAAACAACTTGTCTTTTAAAAACAAATACATCAGCATTTTACAGACACAGAACAATATCCATGAGTACAACAAAGCATTCCACATTAGGTTGCCCTGGTTATTGTTAATGATAGTACACAACTTACATACAAATGATTCAGTTATATATTGCACAGAAAAACAAGCACTTTACATGAAAGACTAAGTACTAAATGGCAGTGTACACAGTTGTGTGCTTTCAGATTCATTAGCCTGTTTGCCTGCAGGTTCTCGTAAAGGTTGGGTGCACTGTAACCCACAGCTTATAAAAAGGCAGTATGTTTGTTTTTGATTATTAAAATTCATGCTTGATACAGTCCATGCTTTATATACAAGCTCCCTTCTCTGAAACTGTTCCACAGGACAATGAGTACTTCAAATTGCAATTAGTCATTCTCAGGCATGCCCAATGAAAATAAATAATGTTGTAACTTAGTTGAAAAGGAAGGTTAGAGCTTACCCACAGATTGCCTATTGAACGAATACGCAAGCTTTATACTAAATGGTGGTGAGGGGGAATGGCACAAGTTCGAATGTCCCATAAGAGATATATTATTAAGATTCTGCAAAAGAAAAAAATGCGTAGCCTTAGGTTTTCTGGAGCAAGCAAAGTACAATAAAGATATCACTATATGAAAGGCATTGCATTTATGTCTTTCACACAAGTTGAAATGAATTGTTGAACCTCTCCACCCTTTTGAAAGCATTTTTAGAAAAATAGATTATTTTAGTCAAGTCACGTGTGCTTATCTATTAGAGACTGGAGTTGCAAACTTTCAATTCCTTCATAAGAATATTTTAGATTATTATGGATTGCAATTTATAAAACATGATGTACTAGTATATGATCATTAAAGTTATAGGCTAAGCAAATTGATTGAACAGTATTTTTTTAAATATTGTAGCAAGTAAGAGTGAAATATACATTGTTTAAAGTACTCTGAAAATGATCAGCAGTCTGATTATATGAAAGCTGCAGTTGATAATCAACTTTTTAGCAGGGTTTCATATGAGACAAGCTATCTGACAGAATGGATTATTCAGTCTGAATGCATTAAAGGTGAACTTTCAATCCCATTTATTTTCACTTTATTTATATTACACAACATAAATACTCTTGGTTCATTGATGAGAGAGGATGTGTGACGTATTAATTAAAACCTAGAGTACTAATTGGCACATCACTGAAGCGAGTGACCAGTCGATCCATTAACTATCATCTGGTCCATGGGTGGTTAAAGCAGATTCCCCTTCCCTCTCCAGCTTTTGGCATTAGACTGCAGGCTAGTGGGATATCACCCTAAACTAAACATCAGAATTATCTTGCCAACTGGCAACCAAAGTCACAATTGAAAATCTCCACATCAAAAGTGAGAAATAAAATGAAGGTTTGGACAGGAACGTGGACTTTTTTTTTGTTATTCATCAAACAGCTTGCTAAGACTTGTTTACTCAACATGGTCAGTGTGCTATTCCGTCGAGTCCAGACTAAGGAAGTTCAAGTCTAAGAATAGTAAAGATGGTTGTCTGTAATTCATTCAGCACATCCTTATGCAAGAAAGCAAGCTTTATCTCACAAAAGTTAGTCACCAGAAAAATGTTTGTGGAATGTTACAAAGAAAATAAAAAGTTTGGATAAGGATAAATAATAATACGGGGACAGTTTATTCTGCAATGTATCATTAGTAGGAAGGACTAGGTCAGGTCTTTTGCAATACCTGCATTATTTTATTCCATGAAAATAGATATAAAATTGGAAATTCTACCAAAACATCAGATACTAAAACCCAATCAGAAATCCATTACACACCTTGCATTCCATAATTCACTGGAATTGTGGATTTATTGCAAGTTTCTGTAAAATGCCTTCCAACAACAGGGATCATAAGATAAAAGCACATATTGTAGATCTGATTCACGCTATTTACTTATTATTAGAGTAACACTGGGTCTTGTGCAAAGTAATTTGACCAGTGCTGGAAGAATGACTGAGAACTGTTACTGAAGAGTGAAAGAAATCTAAGGAACCAAAAGGAAGTGGCCTTGTGCTTTCCTGTTTAATACGAACTGGAGTAAATGCATTCTCTGTAAATTGGTAAAATGCCAACTTTAACAGTAAGAAATGATTATGGAAAATTATGATTGTTATGCCAATAGATTGTATATTACAGTTAAATATTCAATACAAATACATGCTACTTTGAAAAGTGTTTTTCATCAATGGGTGGACATCTATTCCCTCAAATTTACAACTTGCCAGCACAAAGGTATTGATTAGTTGTAGCATTCCTCGGCAGCAATGTGGAAAATGGTACACTATTCAGCATTGTGGAGGGTTTATAGAGTCATCAGAATTTGGCTAGATAAACCACAATGAGCCAATTTATGCTACAAAGCCTATAGCCTACAAATCTAACTCTGACTGCGATATTATATATTACATACACAGAGGACTTACACATCCTTGCATCATGTGATTTATAAATCTGATTTAATCTAAATGGAATCATATAAACAACATGCAGGTGATGTAATTGCTTCCATAAAGTAGTAATATCATGCTTGTAGTTTTTTTTATCTCGATGCATTCAGGGATCAAGCAGAAATGTCACTCTTTTTGTTATTTCCATCTGTATTTATTCACTTCTGTGAAGAGCTAACACAAGTTAGAGAGGGTGCGCGAGAGTGCAAAGTGCACATTATTTGTAAGAAGAAGCCGGCTTGGTGTGGGTACTGAATGCTTTTCTTTTTAAAAAATAAACATCAATCTATATTTTTCATTCCTAAAATATGAACATTGGCATATTTGTGGCAAGAGCACAAAGGTCCAAGAGACACGTTCTCAAAAGCTTTCTCAGGTACTCAACAACACAAATGCTCAGATGCATACGAAAATACAACGGGTTGACAAGCTTAGCCATCTTGAAGGCATGCTGATGGGTCACAACAACAGGAATAATACAACAGTTTGAGAATGCAACGAAATTTAAAAGACAAACTATGCCCGAACTTCTGCCACATTGTTGTATTGCAACATACAAAGCTTGTTTTCTAAGCACACTCGTACAGCGTTCATTTTCCCCGAATTTTCTAAATGAATCAATAGTGCGGTTCTTGCTCCATTTTTTTTAGCAAAAATAGAATTTCACGTTATTTTTTCTATGCCCCTCCCTCCACCTAAATTTAGATTTTTTTTATTTTTCCTTATGTTTTTCCACCCATTATCTACTAGTTTCAGAAGTCTTCATCGTTTCAATGAAAACTTCCTCTCTGGAATCTCTAATTTAAATGCAAATAAGCCAGCTGTGTCACAGCCAAAAGGCTGCAGCAGGACATAGGTACTGTACCAAAATAGAAAAATAACTATTAAAAGTGCTCATTTTTGGTTTCTTTTAAAACATAAAATTACAGCACAACAGTAAAGAATAGCATCAGTACCATGGTAATTGAACTTTCAAAGATTTATGAGTTACAGACAGGTTTTGTTTTGTTTAAATGTGCTCTATAAGTTGTATGTTTGCAAGTAACGGGTGTAGAAATCCTCTTTTCCCAGTGGGTAAATGTACCCTCATTGTATGGCACTGAGCCAAGAAAGGCCAGCGTTTAATCTCTGATGTCTGCTACAATTGGGCTTTGGTGTTTTCTGGTTATAGAGGGGGAAATCACTCCAGTTCTTGATTGTTTTTCCAGTGAGTGGATGTCAGGTTTGATCCGATCATGCCCCCGATTGAATAGTTCAGCAATAGTAACTGTCCAGCTTCACACGAGAAAGTATTATGTGGGTAAGATACTTGAGGATTGAAGCCAGCTACAGAAATCCCATAGAAATATGAGTTGCTAACTACAGAAAAGCAATACTTGAGGGGGGAATAAAACCTGAAGAAAAGTTATATATTTTTAAAATAAGTTGTTTGAAACTCTTGGAACAGTGTATTGACATTCTAAATATACACACTTTTCACGTAGGCCAAGATAATGTCAATAATGCATGACATTAAACTATTATAATACTGTAAACCTTTCATATAAAAATATATATTATGTATCACACCCAACCTTTTGAAAATAATGCAAACTCCAATGCACAGTTTATACTGTATTCACATTATGTAACACGTGGGGAAATCAAGCATTGTTGGTACTTCAACAAAGCAAATTTTTTTTTCTTCAGTAGAATCAATTAAACTTTCTGTACATTCAAGAATTAAAATGTTAACTGATAATGACATATAAAATGGTTTAAATAATATTCACTTAGGAGTGCAAGAGAGGCGGTAAGGTACTAAAAAATTACTTTCGTCAAAATGTTGACTGACTGAACAGTCACACCATTACTCCCTTATTATTGTAACCAAGGTATTTCGAAAGCGTAGACACAAGACAATAAAAAGACCTTCGACTTATTAGTAATATTCTTCAAGACAACAAGTGCATAGCAAAATATAAAATAAATTCTTGAGATAATTTAATGTACAAAAGATGCTTTACTGGCCCGTCAGCTAGCAATTTAAAAGGTAAAAAAAACGGTAAGGCAAACGTTTTTATTTGAAGTTGGCATAATCAGAGTGTATGTCAAGGTAATCTTGCACCACCTTGTAGCAGAAATCATACTGCTCCTGCAAAGAAAAAGACAAACGCAATAGTCATTTCTGCAAAGAATTGAGAATGTAATAACATCCAAATATAGATTTTAGATTATTTTCATTTAAAGAATTGCAAACCAAAATAGAAAATGCCATACCACTGTTTGCACCATGTGAGGTCGTTGCATACGTAAACTCTTAACAGTCTGGAAAACATCTAAAAGGCCTTCAGCTTTCACTCGCTCCAGAATGTTACTCAGTGCAATAAAGGTACCTGTCCTGCCAGCTCCAGCACTGCAAAATAAACAGGTTCAAACTTAATTTACCTTCACTGATTTCACCTGAATGGATTCAAACACATGCCTCATAATGTAGTTCCTAATTAATTTTGTAAAATGGCTTTAATTTACATCCAAAAATGAAACAAACCAGCACATCAACAACATTTCCTTCGAAATACTTCACCTTGCATTAAAGTGATTCAGAAAAAAATAAGTCTCAAAAGCAAAATGCTTTTAAAACTAAAGAAACCAAAGAAGGTTCCTACCAGACATGCTATAATGTTAAAGGCTACTTGATTCTCTAGAGTGAATAAGTAAAGGGTGTTAATAGTGTTATTTCCTGCTGCTGACCCAGTGGAAAATATGGATTTAACAGATTAAAAAAAGGTTTCCACAACATTAAAGTCCACATTTACCTTGTACTAATTGATTCTGGTTCCCAGCATCCACTAAATTGATCCTATGGGACACAAACTCCATAGCAAATTGACAGAGGCTTACTCTAGTATTTTGTTTGCCCTCCCATTCAGAACAGATTGAACACTTCCAATTCAATCTCTAAGTAACAGTGTAGAAAGCGTTTAAAGCGTAGAATGCGATTTCTACGCTTTAAACCTTCTGGCACAAAATAGACCTGCTTATGGAGTATATTTAATGCTAATCGCAAAGCTTTCCTGCCAAATTAACTCATGCACAGGGCTTTTGTATCTTGTATGTTGTTGCTATCTTCACATGTATAGCAATAAAAGCAACCTTATGTCTGTGGATTCATCGTATCCTATACTATTAGTGTAACTGAAGCACTTGAATCCATCTAATCTTTCCCTAAATATATATATATATATAGATAATAAGGCTGGAGATACAGGGGGACATAATCTTAATGTTATTATTAGCTTTGGAAATAATTGTTCATAGTTTCAAGACTAATTTATCAAAAAGAGAGTAAATAGCAAAAGTTTATGATGTAGGAGTGTTTCCTGCAGTCTTCATGGCTAATTGTACAGGTAACTAAAAAGTCATGATACCATTGCAATGTCTACTAAGCCTTAATAAGTCTTAATAAGCATCCCCCACCAACCCACGGTTGATTAAACATTTACTTCAGGACGCACAAGTGTTTTTACAACTTCAAAAAAGAAACTGAAAAAGGCTGAAAAGTGAACCATTCAAAGCCTGGGACCTGTAGCTCACTTAATGGTTTATTTCATTCATCTGTCACGTATCCACTATGTATTTCATGTGTTTTTGTTCTTACTGACAGGGATTGCTTTCCTGCAAATTTCAGAATCAATATTCATGGAAAATGGTTCTTCATCCCTTCCAATATATCCCCTTCACTCAGTCCTATCTTGTCTTAAAAGGCTCAAATGCATACTGTGATATGATTGTACTGGCAATGGAAGCCCTTTGAAACCTCACTTAAAGTAGCCACTCTAGCAATTTAGCATAGAAAGCAAGTATCACAGGCTATTCCACTGTGTGGGAGTTTCATAGCCAAACCCAGGTATCTCTTTACCTGATATTTACACCCATACATTTGAGCACAAGTGAGATCCCTATTCTTTCTCCTCTCTAGAAAGTGCTCTGAGACGTTACTCTGTGTGAGGGCACTATATAAATGCAAGTTGTCGTTGTTAATGTTGCAACAGAGCTCTGCTGAAGCTGATTTTAGAATTCCCACTGCCATCTCAAGTGAGATTAACTGCCTGGGGGTCAACTTGGCTGAGTGCCATTTATAAAGGGCTGATTTGAATTCAGTTTTTGTACCATTTGGGGATTTTACTCTTAAGTTACCTGCAGTGCACGATAATGGGTTGATTGCCTGTCTGCTGCTGTTGTTTCTGGACGGCTGCTATCAAGTCGATCATTCCTCTCCCTTCAGCTGGAATGCCGATCTCAGGCCAGTCATGAAAGTGGAATTGCCGAATGAGCCGGTTCTTCCTGCCTTCCTGCATTTCCATTTCAATAACAACGGAAATAGTAACAATCATCCATCAGACCAGCAAAAGAATATTTTGACAAGGAATCTCAATATGTGAATTATTCTCTTTAAAGTTGCTTCCACAAAGCATAAACTTACACACAACTGATATAACTGATCATAGAATAGTACAAAACAGTATAACTAATTAAAAAATACACCGTTCGGCAACAAATAATATTAAAATGTTGTTTTAATTAAAATATTAAAATAGCTGTTTTCTAATAAGTTTCCCGAGAGGTCCCACATGGTGGAATTTAAATAGATGTAAAGAAAGTATTGTTGTGGTGGAATTGAATGGGCATCAGTGACAATGAAACACTGACACAATATAAAAACAAATAATAGCAAGTGATGTTACATGGCACCTTCATGAAAGTCACTTGATCTGAATCTACATGTCAGGAATAGATTGGCCCCTGCAAGAATGTACTTTTTCTTTCGGTTCCCAAGAGACGTTTTGTCTGTGAAGTTCAGTGATTTTGCACCATTAAAGAATCGTATGCATTTAAAAAAGGTGTTATCCTTGTATTTTATCCCTGTGCATCAGTATCTCACCTAGGCGTTAAGGTTGGGAGGAAGCTTTCTCCATGCAACGATCAGATGTCAAACATTTTTCCCTTAGCCAAATACTGTGGTTTGTTCGTGAGCTGTAACATTCTGTGAATCTATAACTTTACTTGATGTCTAATTTTTAAACAAAATGTTTGTCCCCCAACCTGCAGCACTCCTGCAACTCTACATTCATAATATATACATTCGTACTCTAGATAGCAATATATTTCTTTAAAAAAAAGAAAGAATACACACAGAAATGTTTGTGAGCAAGAAGTCTCTCACGCTGAAAGCATCAGACACGTTGTCAGTCTTCAGTTCAATTGTGTAGTTTTCAAAGGTCACAGTGTTCTCTGATGGCCAGTACTGGAAACACTTCTCCTAGAGAGAGGAAAAAAATCCATCCCAGTTACAGTAAGCTTTCCTACAGCAGAGGAACATCCTACACTCAGATATGAAAGAGTACCACATTTAAAATGAATACAGTGTAAACCACTTTGATTGTGAGGATGAGCAATAGCACTATTGGCAATAGGTTGCATTGCCTTAGCAATTGTAGCAAAATAACTGCATTTTCAGTGTTTTAGGCCTGTTTTGCACAAAGCATCATAAATGCTTGTTTGATTTTCACATGATATCAAATGATTCACCAAGCGATCTATGATCCTTACTCACAAATTGTAAAACTAGGACATGCATAATTTGATCCTCATTTACATGGGAAATCTGAACATTTGATTTTATCTTTCACTGAAATGACTTTCTTAATGCCAGGACTATAGTATTACAAAGTCAGACATACAGTCAGGATTGGTGATAAAGATGACATTATACCTGTTCTCTTTCACGAAGCTCTGTGAGCATTACAATGGTGTGTGATTTGTTGTCCCAAATCATTTTCCAGAAGTCCTCCACTGTGATAGAAAGAGGGCCTTGAGTAGCAATAAAATAATGCTTCTGCCTGTAACCCTGCAGTAAAAACATGCTGATTTATCAAAGATGCATGAATGAATTACAGAAGTATAACCTTAATTTATATAATTCTAGCCATGCTGTTTAAATAATGTTTAGCAGAAAAATAATTATTTTCTTTAATTCACTGCATGAAAATTATTGCAAGGCAGTTTTGTTTCAGCAATAATGACAGCAACAATAACGACCAAGGCAGTGCCTAAAATGGACTGAATGCAATTTAATTTCACCCCTCTCCCCACATTTGTAAAGAAGTGTTTATTATATAACAATCACAGATAAAGCCTGATTCAGCCATAGAGGTACAAGATACAAAAGCCATTCCTGCCAAATGTTTAGAAACACTGGCTCAAATCTAAAAAATTAAATTATATAAAAAAAGAGCGAGGATGCTGAGATCAAATTCTCAGCTCAGTACGTAAACATAGTGAACTCATTCTCCCTGCCTAATTCCTTATGGAGACAGTTTAATGTTTTAGATGTCTGATCACTATTGTTTCACTATGTGGTTTGTTAACTATTTAGATTATTCTTATTTTTACTGAATTTCCAACGGATGAAATAATTAACAGCAATACAAAAATGTAATTTATGAATTTCCTGACTCAAGTTTTTTTTTCAAGCTAGGGTGTGTTTATCACTTATAACTACAATATCATGTGTAAGTAGCAAAACTAAAAGCATAATAAACACATAAAGAATACTCACATCTATGTATGACGCATTGACATAATCTGAGTATTCTTGCCCTCTTTTCCTGGGAAGAACGACTCTGTTAAAATCATCTTTAAAAGAATAAAATAATTACAATCAATACATAATTGTATGTATATATAGATGCAGGTAACAAACACACAAACAAAATGTACAACAATGAAACGACAACTTCATACAGATAAGTGTGTATGACTAGTTTGAGATGGTCTTAAAAACCTGGAAGATCTGAATCACAAATTAATGTTGCACTGCTTGAGCAAAATAGCAGTCTATATGTCATCAGAATCTCAGACAGCATCCTTTCCTTCTGTGCAGATATGGATGAAGAACTTTAAACAGGAGACTGGAAGTGACAACTGCTTTCAAACTGGGTAAAATTTGGATTAATTCAAATGAATCCATAGTCATGAATTGAATAGACGTAGTATTCCACTATCTCCACTGGGTAGTCACCTACTTAATATAACATTTGCCTAAATGAATTGGATATGATTTTTCAAAATTCTAAGCTTTATTCTCAAGAGACAATAATCGCAGATGGTGATTTAATGCACTTCCTAACACCACTTGAAACACGCTCCCAAATTCCTGATAATCTCCCTCTCGTTCAGCATCCAGGGAAACAAAGATAAGCAGCTCTTCAAGAACTTCAGAATTGCATTAGTGATGGCAAACTCAATCAGCTATAAAACTTTGCACCTGAGTTTAAGTTGGCCATGTACCATTGCCTAAATGACAGAGTGGGCAGCAAAATGCCCATACTCTTGCAAATTTTCCCACTCTCTCCTTGGGATCAGGTGATGCAATGTATGTGGAGTCTGAATGAATAAACATAGTAGCTTTTATATATATAATATATATATAGATAGATATAGATATCTTACAAGGAATAATCTGAAGAACTCGGGCCTTTTTCAGGTTTATTGGCTTATTCCCCGTTCTCATGTGATCCTTTCTTATTCGCACAGTAGTAAGTTTCTGTAGGTAATAACATAGAAGAAAATTGTTTGGGAAAATTAACTTTAAAAAAAAAACCTTTGAGATATGACAAAAGCTCAGCTCTAAATAAATGAAGTTCAAATGAAGCTAAATAAACAATATATCGTTTTTTTTAAAAAAACCGTGGAAGACTTTTTTTGCCCCCATTTTGTTCAGCTATGCACAAACTGAAACAAAGAAAACTAGGGATAAGAAGGTGAGACCCAAGACTGTTTTTTCTCCCTTGAATAGTGCAGACAATGTGTAATGTTCATGGACCAACAACAACAACTTGCATTTATACAGCACCCTTCATGTGGCTAGAGTCTCCGAGGGCTTAACAGCTTGAAAGGTTAAAGTAGAAACGTTAGCCTTTTTTGGGAACGTAGCTAAGGATTTCAGTTTAGCAAGTACTGAGAGCGGTATAAAGTAGAAGATGCATATCTTCACATTTGATTTACATTCTGGTCATACAGCTATACACACAGACACACATATACATATATATACATACACACACACATACACACACAGTTTGGACCACATTTTCTGCCTCTCAGGAATGCGTATGCAATTCCATAGCCTTAGTTTGGCTTGAGGTTAAACTCAGAAATCCCCCTCATTTTGTGTGTCTCAAACATTTACTCAAAGAAATCTACACACTACATTTACTTTTGCTCCCTCCCTTGCCTCCTTCAAGCCATGACACAAGACCTTTCTTTTCGACCGTGCTTACAGCTGCCCTCCTACGTCTCTGCCCTCCCTCATCCCAATCCTGCCCCCACCATGCTCGGATTCTGGTCCCTGATTGTTCAGCGCCTTGGGACGTCCTCCTGACATGAAAAGCACTTTCCAAATGTAATTTTGTTGTTGATGTTGTTGGCACTTTTACACACAAAGAATCACTAGTTCATTTAATTTACATTGTTTAACACTGTTCACCTAATCAAATCCTTGTTTTTTAGCTGGATTTGGTGTAGTTGTACAACTACAGGACAAAATACTACTCAGTACTGTACCAAAGGAAGGAAAGCTACTTCTAAGCAAAACATTGGATTTATTTACTTAATCTACACTCAAAGCCTCACACTTGGCACACGATATTCTAAAAAAAAATCTGAGCATAGTATTGTCATTGGCAATTTCGCAGCCATAAATTATGGTACAAACAATAAATGTTGTGGTTGAAGGCATATTGTTGTGCCAGCTTTAGCACAATAAGCTTAAGGTACTTACATTAAATTCTTCCTCTAGGCCTGTGATATCACTGTTATCACTTCTACTGTGCAGCTTCTGTATGTGCTTCTCCAAAGAACTTACATCCAGCTCTGTATCACCATATAAGAAATGTTCAAGCAGAGCTTGGTAAATGAAGGAGTACTGCATCTGCAAGGGAAAGCAATGTAAATAAAACCATATACGTTCCTGTACATGGAATGTCATGTGAGATACCAGGCATTATTCACAGACTCCATTATGAAAACAGAGAATTATTGCAGAGAAACAAACCAACCGAGGTTCAGGATTAAACTCAATCAATCCACAACTGTTTGTGGGACACTGCTGTGCGCAATTGGCTGTCGCGATTCACCCACAAAATATTCAGTCAATTCATTTAACAGTATATTTTGTGAAGCGCTTTGTGACGCCTCGAAGACGTGATCAAATGAAAAATGAAATGCAAGGATTATTATCTTTAAACTGGCATTTGTCATAAGCCCACACAGTGCTGGTATTAGCAAAATACTTGTGTAGTATGCCAATGGCAAGTCTGACACAGTTACAATGATTTCCATTAAGAAGCAGTATTTAGTTTTGTAGAAAACCCCTGTGTTGTAAACAAGATATTACTTACATCAGTCTGCACTAGGTGTGAGCGCTGTTTGCGAATTCTTGACACGAAACCAAAGACATCCACTTTTTGTTCTTCTTGCATCATATCAATCATGGCATCTATAACTATAAATGTTCCTGTTCTGCCGACTCCAGCACTGTGATTTAAAAAGAGAATTAGGTTTATATATGTTCATATACGTAATTTCAAAAAAATGTTAAAATCATTCAGCTCATTCTCTTCTCTTTCCATGTTTTTGTGACCGCACATTAATACCTAGCTTTCTCACGTTAGGTATATATTCCCAGATCACTGTCATTGTCTATTCAGGGTTAGGAGATAGCAGGTTAGATTGAAGCATTGGCCAGTTTTGTAAAGACAGGAGCCAAAATTAATAGTAATCCTTGCGTGTGATATATTGCCTTATTATGTCATCGCAACATCACAAATTGCTTCACAGGATATATTGTAAAATGGATTGACAAAGTATTTTGTGGCTGAAATATGGGCGAATTGAGAACATACCACACTACTTTTCGTAATCTGATTCTACGGGTCTTGCAAAACCCCAGAAACTAGTCGTTAGTTAATGCAGAAATATATAGCATCGTGAAGTGCTTTGAGACGTCTTTCTGATATAAAAGGTACTATTTAAATGGAATTTTTGTTGTTGTTTGGTAAATAATGACTTCTCTACCCACCACAACTTCAAACTTGAAGTTGTGACTCAAAGTGCATGAGAATCAGAGGTACTCAACCGTGTCCAATACCCTAATTTTGCAGTGAATTGTTACGCAAAGGTGCTGCACTAACCAGCCACGGGTTTATAGAGCTTTGTAACTTCCGTGGCACTACATTAACATTTCTGCATTTATAAGGTTATTTCATTATTTAAATTAATTTCTGGACATGATAAACATTTGAGAAAAAGATGGTCTGGCCTACATCGTAACATGTCGCACAGTATCATGCAAGAGGCAGATGGGAAACATTAGTCTGAAATGGTTGGAGATTAGGAAACAAATTCCAGTGTTGGAATTCGTTTTGGAGATGTGGAAAAGGTTTTGGAACTAACCTGAATGACTGAAACACTCAGGGATGCACATAGATTGATTGATAAGTGATTCACGGTTATTAGGAATGCAGGATTCTGCATTAATGGTCAACCTGTCTGATCAATGAAAGAATGAAGTGGAAGCAATGCTAATGGCAAATGCTGAAGAGTGTGGAGAATGATGATTTTAAAAGAGTCGAAGTTAAGGTTTACTATTCAATTTTGTTTGAAAGACAATTTAAAACAATTCTGAAAAGTTATTAAAGTTAAAAATGCAAAAGAGACACCAGGTGAATGAAGCGAGATGAATAAAACACCTTTAGCAACAGGATGTCTGTGGCTAAAATGTTTTCACAATGAGATGAAGCCGATAATTCAAAGGTCTGGTTAGTTTTAGCAGCTGCTTGAGCTTTGCTATTGCAGAAGAAGTCCATAGAATTGCTTAAATTAATTGTTGTCTTATGGCCATCTCTTCTATATAGATAACAAATAAGAACTGATGATGTCCAGAGGCACTTGAATATAATAGAAAGTTAAAAATTCTTGAGATTCTTTTCTATGTGTTAAAAGGGAAGCATCATCTCCTTCAGAATCGACTTTTCTAAAGCCCTGCTTGCTAGCCTCCTCACCTGTCTCTAATCAAACTCCAGATCATTCAGAACTGCAGCCCATATTCTCTCCCGCACCAGGCTCCGCAAAGATTGACTTTAATATCCTCGCCTTCATCTTCAAACACCTGCACGGCCATGCCTCACACTACCTTTGCGACCCTGTTCTCCTGGTCATTCCCTCTGGTCATTCCCATTTCTCGAGCCCTGCCGTTTCATCGTGGGGGGGTGAGCCTTCAGCCACTTTGCCTCCACTCTTTGGAGCTCGTTTCTAAAATCCCTCCACCTCACACACCCTCCCTCTCTAACATTCAAATTTGTATCTAAGATAGTCTTTCTATCATTCAGTGCACTACTTATTGTGAAATTCCATTGTATTGCTATATAATGGTGAGTCAAAAAGGTGTGCAATCCAGGATATACAATGCATATTAAATGTGAAGTATGTTGTTGCAAAATGATGTAAAGGCAAAGCGAATAATACCTGCAGTGAACAACAATGGGTCCCGAAAAGGAAGGATTGACTGTTTTGACCTTCTTAAGAAATTTGAGCATACCGACGGGTGCGAATGGTACACCAAAATCAGGCCAGCTTGTGAAGTGCAGTTGTGTGATGAATCTTGGGGCCTTGGGACCACCCGTTTGCTGTACCTAATGCAAGGAAATCACAGCAGAATAAACATCCAAATGAACATAACAAAAACATCACGTTACCCTCCATTTGCAATGTCAAAATAGCAGCAAACCTAACAGCACATAAAGTTTTTTTTGTCATTAAACCGTTACCTTGGTAAAATGTTGTTGCGTATCTGCGTCTACTGTCAATGTTGTTGTCAAAAATTCTGAAGAAATGAGCACTAAACACAATTGCGAATAAGATTGATACTTTGCTCCATACTACGTCTAATCTGCCAAAGAAGCTCAATGCTTTAAAAATACACTATTCTAAACCAAGAAAAAAAATCTCCCTTGCTAGTATCTATCCATCTGTCTGTCTATCTGTAATAAGGCAATTAGACATTTATTTCTGAAGATCATGCCACTGCCGCATGCAGAAAATAACATGTGTGTTAAAATCCCTACAAATAAAGATAATTGAAAATAAAATGATTTGCAACAAGTTATAACTGAATGCTTATTCATTTGAAATTATTCTGGTTTTCAGAACGGTGGTAAAAACAGATAATACTTACATTCTGTATGCTGAATTTGCGGATGGTATAATCCACAAGCACTGTGACGTCTTCCACTGAAACACGAATTGTTCCATATGACCATAAACCCTGGTCAGGCCAGTATTTAAAACACTTTTCCTGTGGGAATAGGCATGCATTTAATTGATAGGCCTATTATTAAAAGGTGCAAACCCATTCTAAAATGTTTATTTCGGAGCAAAACATGTTCAATGAATATAGAAAAATACAGGCAGAAGGATATCTTGCTTGTTTTATTTCTACCATTATTGTTCTTTCTAGTTGCTAAACTAAAGTAATTTTTTCTAGCTTATTCATCGTAACCTGCAGTTGTCATTTAAATATTCTATCACTGTATGTTCCTTTGTGACCATATGAAAATAAAACATTTCTGTATCAGTACAGCACTATTTCCAAAGTTTCTTGGAAATATTCTGAACTTTGAGTTAAATTGTATTTCTTATTGCTAAAATGCGTTAGTGATCCGGAGGATAAAATGGTGTACCAGATACTACACTGACTCACTCCATTTACGGTTTCATAATGTTCCTAACACAACTACACCAAACTCCAACTAATCCGCAACTGAAAGAGAATCACAAAGCTAATTCTGCTGAGATTCATCGGGAAATCAGGCAAGTTGGCAAATTAGAAATATCAGTTTCACTTAGGAATACATTTTAAAACTGTTATCTGGGGAAATGAACCTGATCACAAAAATTATCTCAACAACAAGGTATAAAAGCAGCAGATATTTGTCCTATTTTGGAGAACACAGTTTTTCTATGATTGATATATTCACCTCCTTTTTTTCTTTCAAATTTGTTAGCATAACAATGGTTGACGACTTCTGTTCCCAGATCATTCTCCAGAAGTCTGAAACAGTCTCTTGTTTGGGGCCTATTAAAGATGAAGATATGAATAACCTGCTCAGAAGATATTATAAAATTTAAGCAAAAAAATCCTTGTTCTGTATATTATTTTTTACCACAGTAAAACTCACATAAGTCGTATCAATCGGGACCATAACAGTCATATAAAATCCAATTTAATCAAGAATTAAAAAGAATTCCAAAAGAGGCTTAATTTTCAATTACAGTTTTCAAAAGTTGAGCATTACGGCAAAATTGGATCTTAAATATGAAAATGAGTTACCTTGAGCTGCTATGAATTTATTCTTCACTTTATAACCCTAAGGGAGGAAAAAAATCAGCATTCAATCTACAGGCTGACCACATTACATTACTTTTTTTTAAAAGTGTTAGCCAAAATGCTGATTAAATGAATTACAAGTAGTTCAGTAAAATGAATGAGCACCTACATCAACATATGAGGCATTGATGTAATCAGAGCCTGCTATCCCATCCATAGATGTCAAAGCCACTCTGGAATTGTCACCTGAAAGAAAGTTTAGACGTGACCAAACTCAACTGGAATGAATTAGCTAAATATACCAACATAAACCTATTACTATAGTTTCATAATATAAGATAACATTGGATCTAAAATGTAGAACTGCAACAGGATTCCTTAAGTTATGGAAAATAGGACTTATGATTACACAACATTATCTACTTTCAGAGCATGATTCCTGCAGGCGGTCTGAATGACTTAACAAGGAATTTCTTACACAGGAATCTGGTTACGAAACATGGTATCTGACCCCAGTGTACCTGATGTTTGATCTAAAGAAGCACACGAGGGTAGCTGACATACCACTCCTTCAAACCAATGGATGTGGAAAGGGTTTAGCTTGAAAGGACAAGACACGACTGTCGTGAATTCTAGTTGCTGCTAATGTGTGCTGCAAGTAAGGACCTTGTATTCAAATTTCTTGACCAGAGCAAGTGAGTTGTAAAAGACTACAATGTCAGTGCCTCATCAATGAAAGCAGGACAACATGTGAGGTAATGCATTCAAGTCATTTCACTGAGCGCTAGACATATTGTGGTGCAATATCTCCTCATTTCCAGTCCACAAGGGGAAATCATATGATGCAGCAGATTTAATATTCTTGTTCAGCAAATATTTAACAGCTGTATCATGGTTTTAATATTTTTGCACCATACTGTGTATTCCAGAGCAAATCTGTTAGAAATGGAACAGATGAAACTTGCAGCATAAATCCTACACAGCAGTCATAAAATAATATTAGACTTTGTGATTTTTTTATCTGATCGGTCAGTCTGCCCTATCTTGCCATAGGTCTGAGGGATAGACGACAACAGGCGTCAAACATATCAAACACAACAAGAAGTGAAAGGTAGTGAACTGACCTATTCCTCAGCACAGCTTCATGTCTACAGTCTAATGTTTACACGAGTAATAACATTGCAGACCTCTATGCATTACCAGGAGCCACACTGTAATTACTCCATCCACAAACATTGGCAAGATATTACTGTACAGTACCCTACTTACTCAGGAAAGAAGGGTCACACTTTGATGCTATTTGACCTTAATTGCAGTATTACATCAGAATAAAAGATACCCAATTATCTGCCCCGTCATTTGTATTTGCACAGTAAAACATTGTAACGCACCATTAAAATAATACGATCAACACAATGTGATATAACGCAAATCCATTTATTACACAACTTTACCGCCAGGGTACTCATTCCACAAACTTCCACTCTCTTTTGAAGAGGACCATTTGGTGAAATCAAACAGATTGTCAAATGACCCTGAAAGTTAACAGGGGAGATGAGATTCTGAATGGATGACTTAAAGAACACTGACCTGGTAGGATGTTGGGATATCGATTTTTAACTTTGTTCTCTTCCCTGTTTGCTGCTTCACAACATGCTTCGGGAATTCCAGTTGGTAAAGACTGTGGCAGAACAGACGTACGTCAGACATGTACAGCAACACTGCCGTATTTGATTAGACACTAGCTGTACCCACTGCAGCTACGCTTGCAACCAAAGGATCCAATATGGAATGTAGACAGACAGACATTTCACCTTTATCTATACGCATCCGGGAGGACTCCTATGGGAGGACTCCTTTTGGGAGGACTTTGTGCTTTAAAAATATCTAATTTTGTTGTTGTTGCCGCGGCTTAGCTTCGTCTGTGTTCTTTAATGTTCCCGCCGCTTGGCTACGTGCGCGCTCTGTGCCGCAGGATGCCACAGCATCGCGGTCGGCCAGCGCGGCCACCAGGTGGCACTGCAGCGTGTGCGTACATACGTAGGTGCTCTGTGACGTACGATGCCACAGCGCCACTTTGACTCGATGGCCACCAGGTGTAACTGTAGCAAAAAACGCCAAAATGAAAATAACTCGTGAACGATAAGAGATACCCAGAAAAAAATATGCCCATGTCACTCCCAGTTGCAAGACCTTTCCGATGAAGTATAAATCATGTCTCTACATCAATCAGTCATTGAGATCCTTCTTGAAGCGCAGACAGATACTTCGTTTTATCAGTATAAGATTTAGAATGACTAAAATCTTACAGTGAAAAAGAGAACCCACTTACACACTTGTTTAAATGTTGCCAAATATTCAACATGTACCCTTCATCTACCTACCAATATTTTGTAAGTGGAATAAGTCTTAAGGGAAAATTAACCTCATTTGGTTCAAGTCTATATTTAAAGACTAAATATCAATTCATATTACATACATTTAAAAAATGGATTACTTTAGGAAGTAAGATTGACCCAGACAGAAATGTATACAATTCTAATAAAAATAATCTAAGAATTTATAAATTTACAGGATTAAAAACAGACCACCTGATAGATATTAAAAAGAACTTCTCTATCTCTCCCAAACCTAAATTGATTTATTTGCCAAATAATTGTTTTAATTCCGCATTTCTGACATCCTGGCCTTTGATAGCACTGGTACTGAATTCCACCTGTCAATTTAGTTTCCCTTTCTTCTGTTCTTTCCAATGCCAAGATATCCCTGCTGTAATAAAACAACCAGAATTGTGTACAGTGTACAGTATGCCACAAGGGGCTGCACTCGTGCTCAGTACAAGTTCAGTATCAATTTCTGCGTCAGGATCTATCGTTTCGTTCCAGGACCTTGTTTGCTCTCTTTATTGCTGCCGCACATCTTTTAACAGAAAAAGGCAGCCCTCTATACTTACGCTTGAAGGCTTAGTTGAGGAAGGGCAGGAGGAAGCTCATGTGGAGCATAAACACTGACATAGACCAGTTGGGCCGACTGGCCTGTTTCTGTGCTGTATATTCCAATATATTCTAACGTAATCAACAATGCAACTATTGACACTTTGCAAAGAAAAGTCAAAAACTTACATTGAACTCCTCCCGAAATAGCTTGCCCTCATCAGCTGACCGTTTCCTGACTTCATGTTCCAAACTTGGTACTGGAATGGGAGAGTATTTCTTCGAAACTGTGGGGGATCTACTGAGAAGCATCACTGTCTGCTGTTCTGTTTAACCCAAAAAAAACTTTAAGAGTTTAGTTAAAGCCAACAGACAAAACACATTATCATGGTACAATACCGTGTTATTTTACCTTTTACCATAAGCTGAATCCAAGATAATACAATTAATCACACGCACACAATGATACTGAAGAAACATCCTTACTTGTTATAAACTGAGGATTCTACGATACCAGATCACTTTTCATCAATTCCTGCTAAACATAATTCTTCAATCCAAAACTGTAATGCTTAAACGCACAGTACTCAGCATGACATTTTTATCTGTTGGCCACGCATTTGATCTTGTTGATTTCAAGCTCGGTTTCAGCAGGCAAGCTTAATCTTTTACAGAACCACAGTTTGATATCAAACACGAGAAAAATGCAACTCACAAGAAAGAGCGCAGTCAAAAGCAACGGTGCAATGATTGGTGTAACTGTTGTCATCAGTGGATTCTTGTTACTACATGTGCACACGACTTGTGCTTCATTGACCTACAAACTATGTGAGAACTGGTTTTCTAACCAGCCTGAGGCTGCTGTTGCCTGGCATCTGCCATTTACTTGCGTGTACGGGTGTTTTTAAATTGTGGCATTTTTTTTTCGCTTGTGGGAATGTCTAAGTAGGTAAATAATACTGAAACTGCATTGTTGGTTTCTGAGGATTGCCTCTTCTAAAACTATGCTAGACAACTAGTAATTCTTCTCAGTGGTGATTATCCAACTGGTGAAAAGGAGTGGGACGGGAAGGGGGCAAAAGGAGGAGGAGAAAAGTAGAGGTTGAGCGGGGAAAGAGTAGAAAAAATTAAAAAGCTCAGCAAACCATCCAAAGCAGTTTGTATACACCTCCCAGTGATAAACCCTAAGGTGCCATAGGCAGCACTATCTTTGACCACACCTTCAGCTACCTTCCTACCTTCAACCTTCCCTGATCCCAAACCCCCTGCTCGGATCCAAATCCCTGACTGTCCAGCGCCTTGGGACATCCTCCCGACGTGAAAGGCCCTCTACAAATGTAATTTGGTATTGTATCGATGTCTAGTTAGAAGCTGGTGGGTGGTCTGAGGAGGTTATGACTTGGGAAAGAAACTACATAATAAAATTTGAAAAGAGTGGAAAGTTCCCTTGAAATATAATTGTTGCAGCCAGATCGCTCTGTCTGACTGCCTCTGAATAAATGCACTTGAGCAACAATCAGAGGTAGAGTCAAATAAAGTCTCCAAATGCCTACGGAGTTCCTTCCGAGCAATGTCTAATTGCTATTAAATCTTAAAAGTGAACCTTGGACCTTCACAGAATTCATAATTTAATAAGATCATTACTTTTCAAGAACATAAAGAATTAATCTGCACTTCGGGTGGTGGAAATAAGTCTTTTGTTATCTCTCCCAGGAGACAGAACAATGAAGGAAAAAGAAAGGAGTTTTGATTAGTTCAGATATGATTTAAGAACCTTTTTTCATTAAAAAGATCAATTTTTGACACAAGCCTCTAATGTAACAGAGTAGTAAAACGATCCTGAATGCTGGAACACCACACTGTAAAATTGGAATTATAAATCGCAACCTTATTTCCATGGTTGCCTTGTAGGTGAAAAAAAAGTCTAAGGGGCATGTGTGTGTAGTTCACACAATCATGTGTGTAAAGTGAAGGTATGTGCCTCTAATTCCTATCACAAAATTTGGTATCAAAAAATACACGAGAACAAAATTACATTTATAGAGCGCATTTCAACAACAACTTGGATTTATGTAGCGCCCTCCACGCTGGACACGTTGAGAGGACATCCCAAGAAGCTGAGAGATATGGTAGTGGGATATGATTGAAATGATACTCATATTCTAATGCTGACAATAAGTCATTTGGGACGTCCTCCCGACGTGAAAAGCGCTATATCAAATGCAAGGATTATTATTATTATTATTATTTGTTGCTGATGCTCATGAGACTCAGTATAAAGTTGTTCCAGCGGCTGCACTTTGTGATTATAGATTCAAGGAGGTCAGTTAAGATACTCGCCTATATGTACAGTCGGGGGATATAAAATGTATCCTCATTACATATCTTCTATCAAGACAGTGTTAGCTTTCTTTACCAATGTTAAAACAAATGAAATACTTTAATAGTGCCGAACGTGTTGAGATATCGTTTTGGTTTGAGATCTAAACAACCTGAAAGGCAGATTCCTACTTCCTCTTGCAACAAACAAGTTTGAATCAATTACTGGATTCTACAAAACTGTTTATATTTCCAATTTATAAAATGATATGAGTTACCATGATTGGTAGAATGCGTTTAGTGGAGGGCCGTGAGTGGAGAGAGCAGATTTAGAATCATTGCTACAGTGTTTGCTTTTATACTGCTGGCACACAAAATCAATTTCATTTCTCAAGTACTCTCTAAATGGCGTCCACAGATTAACTTTGTGTCCAAAACAGTTTTCATTCTGTGTCTTAGCTGATTTTCCTCTTCCAAGATCAGGGGCACTGAGGAAACTTCTAGTGCTGCTTGAGATCAACTAGTTCAGCACTTAAATAGGGATTTGCAGTCTTCCAATCTATAGAACCTAGCAATCAGCAGTTGGAGCTTTTAGCCATAAGGCCATCAAGATTCAGGTTAGAACATCTCAACACTATTTTCACATCAGATTAAAGCAAGACGTCCAGTATAAAGGTCGCACAATATTGCTGAGAATACGAACTGCTACGGACAGACTCAAATTACCTTGTTCTTCTATAATACCATTTGGCATCTTCTTCTCACCAAGACTGACCGAGTCCTTTTTCTTTCTTCTCAACCTTTTTTTAAAAAAAAAATCCAGAAATAAATATAGTGCAGGTCACAGATGCCAAAATATTCCCATTCTTAGATAGTTTCATATCAAACATTTGCGTTGCCACACATTTAACTGTAAAATTGTGATGATACAAGAACATAAATTACTTTCTACGACAGGCTTTAAATTCCACAACGAACAAGTTAAAACTCAAACCGATTGATGGAACTCGGGAACATGAATTACAGTGACACGTTTTTGAAGCAAGGCTACAAAACAGAAGCATTTCTTTCAGGAAGTAGTTAAATGTAATTTCTACAAAAATCAACTTAGCTAACTACTGTAGTAGCTACACCCAGAAATTGATCCGTACAAAAACAGTTGATTCCAGGAAACATGCATGGTTTAAAATGGAAAATGGTTAATTTTGGCGGCCAGAGGCCTGGTAAGGCAGTACCTGCAGGAAAGGAAATGAAAGCATTTGAAGTGAGCTAGACAACAAGACCCAGAATGTAACCTAGAATCAACTGCATAACCATTGCAGCCAACACAGTGAAACAAGACCAGCTCTATACTGCTGTCAGAGTCAAAACAACTTAAAAAACTTCCTGCCTGCAAATAGTTGTCACGTTTAGGCGATTCTTCAGGTTTCAATGTCCTTAGTCCTTATCAAGTGTACCAATATTGAAAACGCTTAAGTTGGAGACGGAGCAGGGGAGGAGTTTTTACTGCTCTGTAACTACCTTCCTTCGAGAACTGCTCCATCTATTGGTTAAAGTTTTGATCTGCTCTCTGATTATTTTCAGGGTTTGTTCTGTGAACTTCCTCTGGGCAACACGACTACTTCTGTTTCCCAGGACAACAGTGTGGGCGAGAGTAAATGGAGGGAGGGGGGAGGGGAGAGAGAAAAAAAGAGAAGAAAAATCACAATACACAAGGAATTTGCATTACAAGAAGAATGCAAAGTAAGAGAAACACATTATTGGTCGCGATTCAAATGGAAAAGGTTGATGGCTCACTCAATGTGCCTTGAACCCAGCCACAAAACCACAAATGAACCACTAGTTTTTGCAGCATCAGGCAGGTGTAATGGCAAAGCGAACTGGGGTACCAATAGGTGAAGCGATCCACTAGGTCAATTCAACTCGAGTCCTGCAGGCCACTAGATTGTCAATTTCAGACTCATTAATGTCTAGAGACGGTGAGTGGGGAGGGGGATGCGGAGTGGGGGAAGGGGAGCAAAGTCCTTCCGGTTCCTGTGGTGCCTAGCTCAGGGTGAAGGCAGAGAATATCACCCACTTTCCTGGACACAGGGCAGAAAAATCAAGGAATTGAAGCCATCAATAAAATCCAACCTGCTAAATACAGCAAATGTAGATCTAGTAGTATTTATTCAATATGCCTAATTCACCACTCTGGATAACTCGTCAATGAGCCCCTTTGCCCTCAGAGTGACAAGTTATCAGGAATATATGGTATTAACATTAGAAGCAAATTAATAAAACTTCAAATTAGTACAAAATGCATAAAATATATGTACATTTCCATCTCATTGATTTTTCTCTGATACACAGTCGGAGTTGGTCACTATTACAGCGAAGACATGATTTTTGCTCAAGCCCTTTAAGTTATATTGCAGCTAAGGAGTGAAATGTACTTGCGATGAACAGACCAATGGGCCTTGGAGTTACAATACCTTAATCTTATTCGGTGTTCGGTTATGTAGTTATAATTTTCCATAATTTCGGCTCAGGTGCCCAGCCAGCTATGAAAAGCAATTTGAGATGCCCTTCTGACGTGAAAGGCGCTAATATAAATGTAAATTGTATTATATTGTAATTTGAGGAATTTTCCACAGCTTGAACTCAATTTGCAAACACTGAAGAGCCTCAGTGTCAAATGATGTCCATAAAGAGGTATTAAAAATATTGGTCATATATAGGGTGTCTCAGAATGATTTGCAGAAGACAGCAAATAAATATTTGCCTTCACAGCAGTTTGAGTATTATAATAACAACAGCTCGCATTTACATAGCACATTTTCAAAGTATCATAGAATATTACAGCACAGAAGGAGGCCATTCGGCCCATTATACCTGTGCTGTCTCTTTGGAAGATCTACCCAATCAGTCCCACTCACCTGCTCTTTCCCCATAACCTTGCAAATTCTTCCTTTTCAAGTACCTATTTTACGTAGGATAAGGTCCGATTGCTTCACAAAGACAGAGTCGGATACTGATTAGGGAAGGAGAGAAGAGGTGACTGCAGGCCCGATTGAACTGGTATAACTTTAAATGCCATAAAAAAGTAAGATAGACTGAAACCTTACCCGAAGTAAACTGCAATTGCAATACAAATCCCAATCACGAATGGCAAGATTACGTATACAGGAATATATGGATCCGTCTCTGTTGGATCTGTATTAAAAAAAGAAATTAAATAATTTGAAATGGAGGAAAAGATACTTTACATTTCATTTGTGTCTTTAGGCTGAATTTTTGTTAAGTTACTTCGTAAAACGGAACATGTCTTTGTCATTAGTGGTTAGCACAAATGGAACAGGTTGTTCCATTTTCCTGCAATGCAAGAGTAGGTCAAGTGTTTTGGCCGTCGCCTCTTGTGGTAAACACTATTGCTGAGATTACATAACCCACAGCCCACCTTCAAGTATCTGCTTAGCAGAAAATGAGGTGTCATGCTAAGACACGCCAGTTAAGCATCCACAGATTGTTGTGATACAGGAATACATGCTAAGCAAAGGGCTTCAGTTCTGAAGCTCCCTGTGGAGGACTGAGAGAATGGTGAATGCGTTTACACATTACAGACTCCCGTTGTCCAGAAAATAACAGGAGATTGTACATTGACATCTATTGGTCACCTGTGTTACACCAGTGGTTAAAGTTTAGGATACAGTCAATTCACTTTACAGTATATTCTGTGAAGCGCTTTAAGACATCTCAAAGACGTGATAAGGCGCTATACCAAATGCAAGGATTATTATTATTATAGCAGTGCAGGCTTTGTTTATTTTCATTAAGGACTTAAGATCTACGGGTCTAACAATTATATCTTTACACGTTATCCATTCCTTGTCTTTTTTCTCCCCACAAATAAATAAAGCGAAGGCTTTTCACCCATTTACTTGTATCTCACTTGCTTCCCAAAGATCTGCAAGTGATGCTGTGGCCTCTCACAGTCGATGATCAATTTATTCATCCAGGTTATTTTATGTTCCAACAGTAGCTGGGAACAACAAAATGTTTCAGTTGGTAGCACTCTTGTGACTGAGTCAGAAGGTCGTAGGTTCCAGCCCCACATTGAGACTTTGAACTCTCAATCTAGACTGACACTCCAATACAGTACTGGGGGAAGTGCTGTATTGTTGCGGTGGCATCCGCCTGCATGCTGCCACATTCACCTACAAATACGCTTTATGATAAATCCTACAAAGTGCTCAGAAACACCCTCCTGACAATAAAGGTGCGATATCAAAAGCAAAGGATTACATTCATGTCTGAGATTACGCTGTACTCAAACCAGGTGTTCAGTTCCGTAGGGAAGAATAAGAAGAGTATTAGATAGAAAAGATTTTTTCTTTAATTGTTTGCTTTCCTTTTCTCCTTCTACACACAAGTTTTTTTTTGGAGGGAAAATTATTTCCAATAAGGAATGTTTGATTGCCAATTTTCTTAAAATTCCCACGGGCTGAATATTAAGCAAATTCTCCAATTGGAATATTAAAATAAAAAGTATATGCAGAATTTTTTGTAATTAGTTTTTCAGAGAAAATGGATTTGGGGCAATTCGTTTGGTATGGCCTTTTTTTAAAAAAAATTCAGTTCCATTCCCTCTAGAAAAGGTTGACTGTGGTTTACCACTTTAGAGGTTTGAGCAGAGGCATATCACAATATACCAGGCTCTTAAATTCTAAGATTTGCATCAGAGGAAAAGCAGAAACCCAACTAAACCATTCTCTGAGTCCTAAAAGCCAATTATTTTGCAATAACAATCTCATAACAGTTTCACACAGTCTCCACAGCCAGAGTAGGTAGAATGGTACAGTAAAATTTTAAAAAGGTTATTAAGAATAATAATCCTTGCATTTGATATAGCACTTTATCACTTCTTCAAGACCTCTCAAAGCGGTTCATGGAATATACTGTATATTGTGTGGGCGAAAGGTGGTGAGTTAGCTATACCTATAAGATGTCTTCTTGCAATTTATAAAATGGTGAATTACCTTAATTGTCACTTACAGAGCAATGTAGGAATCCTACCCTCACTCCACCCTAACCTTAGCAAACATGCCATTTCTGGATGCAAACATCAGCGCATAGCACTTAATGGTAGAGTGCAGTATCTTGACAATTGATTGATTTCAGGCTCCTTTCAAGTTGCATTTTGAATGAAAAACATTTTGACTTGTTTATAATAATTTTTGCATTTGATCTAGCACCTCATCATGTCTTCGAGATGTCTCAAAGCGCTTCACAGAATGTACTGTAAAGTGAATCAACTGTATTTTTGTGGGCCAAATATACACCTGCTTAAGTATTAAAGGGTGAAATGAAATATTCAAATTGTGCAAATTGTAACTGCTTTCAACTTTATACCATTTGTGAAAGTTTGGGGTTCAAAAATCATCTGAACATTTAAGCACTGTTTTTTTCTTTATAAATGTTATACAGACATTGACACAACAGGAAAGCCAGAAATATATCTGGCACTAGAATGAGTCACCAGACCTGGCCACAAGTCAATATGCAAACGTCACTTCCAACCACACACACTGCATCATGTGTGCTCTGCACACAATAAGAACAAGGTACTGTACAATGCTTAACACAGTGTTCTAACTGAGGAACAATTAGAAAAATGAATTTTATAAATTTTTGCCCACAAAATATACAGTCAATTCACTTTACAGTATATTCTGCGAAGCGCTTTGAGACATCCTGAACATGTGATAAGGCCCTGTATCAAATGCAAGTATTATTATTAATGTGAATGTTTTGAGCGAGTGCGATATTTTATTGATAAAATGATAGAAATCATGTATTTGGGGATTTTTGCAAAATAACTGCAAGGTTAGAGTACAATACTGATCTTCCCTAAATCTGATAAAAAAGAAAATATGGATGAGTTCAGAAACATGACAAGGAAGCTGAAAGGAATGTGGGGCAAGGTTAAAGACATTCAGGCCAGAGATCATGTTGGGTTTCAATACAAAATTACATTTGTATATTGCCCTTCATGTCGGGAGGACATTCTAAGGTACTGGATGGTGGAGAGTACCACTCATCCCCTTAAATATGTCCCATTCCATTTGTGTTTAGGATAGTAAGTATATAGTACAATCCCAATATTGGTATGAGAACTGGATTGAATGGATTTAATACAATATTAATGTAACTTTGTTCTGGTGCGTAAAATAGCACCTGTTGTGCTTTTCCAGATAATCATTTATCATTTTAATTGACAATCATTTATCAATTTATCCTAACGGGAATAAAAATTGTGATGTGATATGATTATTTATCAACTGTGACAAGTACCACATTGTTGATAAACCAGTTGAGGTCAGTGGACAAGCATCTCAGTATTGGAGGGTACCCAAGAACTATGGAACCATATCTCACCACTTCTGGGAAAGCAGAAAGAGAAAATTGGGGAGAGATGAGGATAAAGTATTTTCTTTCCAAGGTTGTAATATATTCCAATTGCAGAGATGGTTGTCACCAGTCCCTCATGATACAACCTTTATAACAATCTGATCGGGGTGGTTTGTGAGGTCAGGTTACTGAGAGGATATCTTTTTTCGACAGTTGGATGTTCTCTGTATTGTCCATCCAGCCATCGCTAATCGTATAAGATAGACTGCAGAACAGTAAATGTTTTACTCTCAGAGTAAATTGGAAGTCTGTCCAGCTCAAATGCTTGCTGCAGAGTCCATCAGTGGAAGTGGTATTTTTCCTTTAAAAGTCAATTTATGCCTCACAGAGCCCTCGGGACTGAATGATTTGAAGTTCAAGAGAAGCAAGCCACTGAAGTCATATAACAGAACATGTTAAATGTTAAAGGGTGATGTTAAAGGGACGCTGCATGTATATAATGATGCTTTGGCAGATCTTTTTTTCATTGGTTTAAAAGCACCATGCAACAACACGAGTCATGATATCAGGAGGCAATTGTACAAATCAAACACTTATTGCGCTCAACCTGCTAAAAGAAAAGGTCTAATTTGCAGTATTTCTTAACAGATAACAAAAGGAAATGTGTGATTATTATATTTCTAAAACATCAAACATGCATCAATGAAGAAAGCATTCTTGAGTATTTTCTATATTTTAGATACTCGATAATTGTGCGTTTGATTAAGAATTAAAAGATCTCAACAACAACATACATTTGTATTGCACCTTTCATGTCAGGAGGACATCCCAAGGTGCTTAAAAGAACTCAAGGAGACAAGAGTCCCTTTAATAGCCCATTACAGGATGCCCTATCAAAAGCCTTTCATCAAAGCACTAATTTGCTTTTAACGTATGTTCTCGTGGCCTTGTTGTCATTCTGGTGGGACACTTGCACTCATGCAGTAAACCAGCCTTTTTGCCCCGGAAGCAATAAGTGACATCAGAGACAACCTGATAATAATAACAATCCTTGCATTGGATATAGTGCCTTATCAAATCTTCGAGATGACTCAAAGAGCTTCACGGAATATACTGTAAAGTGAATTGACTGTATATTTTGTAGGTAGGGCCAGAGGCTATCATTTTCCTGCATTTTATAGACCAGAACCAGTGAAGTATAACAGGAATTGCTCCACATTTTCTTAACCAAACAGATTTTAACTGACCTTTGAACATAACATCACCTCCAATAACAACAACAAATTACGTGTATATAGCGCCTTTCACATTGGGAGGACATCCCAAGGTGCTGGACATTCAGTGTTTCGGACCCGAGCTGGAGTTCGGGATTGGGGAGGGTGGAGGGCCATTGGGGGGAAGAAGGGTGATTGAAATCATGGTCGAAGAGGAGGGTCTTGAGATGGGTCTTGAAGGAGGCAAGGGAGGGGGCGAGGTGGAGTTACTGCGGAATGGAGTTCCAGACGATGGGGGCAGAATGACTGAAGGCCCGCTCGTCAACGGTGGAGCGAGCGAGGCAGGTGACGTGAAGCAGGCTGGAACCCGCTGAGCGGAGGGATCGGGCAGGTTGATAGGGGGTTAGGAGATCATAGGGGTAGAGGGAAGCAACTCCATGGAGGGCTTTGCAGGTGAGGACCAGGATCTTGAACTGTATCCTCTGTGTGATGGGAAGTCAGTGGAGTCGGGCAAGGATGGGGGTGATAGGATCACGGAGCCTGGTGCGGGAGAGGGCACAGGCTGCAGAGTTCTGGATGATCTGTAGCCTATGGAGGGAGACGTTGGGGAGGCCGACAAGTGAGGAAGTTGCGTAGTCAAGCCTGGATGTTATGAAGCCGTGTATGAGGGTCTCGGCGGCCTGCAGTGTGAGACAGTGGCACAGCCGGGTGATGTTGTGGAGGTGGGGGAAGGCAGAGCGGGTCCTGGCACAGATGTGGAGTAGGAAGGATAGTTGAGGGTTAAACAAGATGCCAAGGTTCTGGACTGGCTCAGTGAGGTGGAGTGTGCAACCATGGATGGTGATGCTGTCAGCGCCTGAGGTGTGGAGGCGCTGACGGGAGCCAATCAGGAGAGCCTCAGTCTTGTTGACGTTCAACTGAAGAAAATTAGCTCTTATCCAGGACTTGATGTCTGACAGACATTCTGTCAGGACAGCAGTGGTCCTGGAGTCAAGGGTGGAGGCAGAGAGGTACAGTTCAGTGTGATTTTATAAATGTTCTATAAAAGGAGAACAGATGCATATCATTTACCTTCACCAGAGCTACTAGGGGTACTGGTTGAGTTTGGATATCTTGTCATAGCTGATATATAACTCGTTTTATTACTCATCATGGGACTGCAAGAGGAACAGATGGAAAATTGGTTATTTTACATATTTTACGTCCAACTGAAGATGTATTCAAAACCCAATTATAACATGAATTAAACCAAATAAGACATTTTTGTCCACTCATATAGACATATGCACTTAAATAATAATAATAATAATAATCTTTGCATTAGATATAACACCTCATCCTTCATTATCCGGGGGTAATAATTCCTTCAAAATAAAAATAAATTGGTGACTCAATCCACAACTGTTTGCGGGACACTGCTGTGCACAATTGGCTGCCGCGATTCACCCACAAAATATACAGTCAATTTATTTTGCAGTATGTTCTGTGAAGCGCTTTGAGACTTCTCGAAGGTGTGATAACGGGCCATATCAAATACAAAGATTATCATTACTTATTACATTATTATCACGTCTTCGAGACGTCTCAAAGCGTTTCACAGCATATACTGTAAAGTAAATTGACTGTATACTTTGTGGGCAAAATACTGCAGCCAATTACACACAGCAGCGTCCCACAGACAGTCGTAGATTCAGTGACCACATTTTTTTTTAAAAAAGCAATTATTATTCAGGAAAATCGATCCACCAATCAACTAACAACCTGGTTCCTACTTACTGCCAGGTAAACAGACGTGTGGAGTAAGGAAACTTGCCCAACATGTCGCCCTGCCCGAGAATCCCCTGCCCAGATCCTCTTGCTTGCGAGGTGAGTGCTCTAACCACTGAGCTACAGGACTTTACTTTTGAAGTTAATAGAATAAACTGGCAAATGTAATGCTTTACAATTAATTGACTGAATTTAAAAAAAATACAGCAAACCGTAAAGTACAAAGCTAAAGCATATAAAATAACAGAAGTAATGCTACAACTATTCAGAACATAAACAAAATTGGATCTGCAGCCTTTTGAGAATTCCAATAACAGTTAATCTGTGAAAAGCAAAAACAAACATATGTTCGTGCCTTATCTTGGCACTGCTAGAGACAAGTTGCCAATACTGAATAAATGTGCATCTCAAAACGATTTCACTGCCTGTCCATATTTCTACTCTAAATTAAGTCTTAATCCAATGTATAGATCAGACTCCAGCAATACAGTGCAGTATTGAGAAGCATTTGGGTGACATCTAATGGAACAGGGTGGGCATTGCATTAACGTTTTTTTTTAATAATCAATTTGCTCAATATCTTCACCGCTTTGGATAAACCTGAGAATATGATTCCCACTAATATTACTATCCAGTGTCTCCTTGCTTTAAGAGCACAGAATGAGGAGTGATTAAGATTGGGTGTGAGGACTCCTGTGGTAGAATTGGCTACCGACATATTTATACTTGTATTGGTTCACACAGAAACAGTCACGTTGCTTTCTTGTGTATAAAAAGCCTTAGGCTTTAATATTAGGCCTTCATCCATTATGTGATATTACAGCTAACTATGTAATATTAAGTTTAGCACTGAGTGCTATCAATACATCAAACTAACTAAAAGGGAACTACTACTTAGGAAATTCATCAACAATGCACACTTAATAGATAAAGCCAGACTCATGTCAATTATGACATCTGTTGAGGTTAATGAAATGTTCAGCATGTCTAACCAGAATATGAAAAAAATAATCATAAAGCACTGTGTTTAACAAAATTAACAAGTGAGGCATGTAATAATAGAATCAAACTGAACAGAGGTGCCATGCAGTGTGAAGAGTGTTATATAAATGCAAGTTATTGTTGTTTTTGCAGAGAAAGTTTGTGCCTGAACACAGATAGTCTACCAACAACAACTCACATTTATATAGTGCTGTTCACGTAGGGTAGCTTCCAGGAGCGTACCATTATACACAAGGACAATTTTATACAAACTCTATTTTTAAAAAATGTAACCACTAGTAAGCTGACGACATGGGAGGAAATAAACCGAGCAGTGCTGACTCAACACCAGAATAAACATGGAAATTCTAGGGCTGAAATGGAGGAATTTATCCATCACAATGAAGTGCTGTATACACCACAGACGCTGTGATTCTCTATTTTTGGAATGGGAAAAATTCAAACCAGAAGCGATCAGTAAACATGAACATTATTTACTCTGGACTGCAGAATTTGTTTCCAAACGAACACTTTTCTTAGCACTCACTGTAATATTTTAGGAATAGTAACTATTTCATAGAAAAGCAGACGGCAGTCTCTGCTCCTGCATACTTTCATCTTTGAGTCTCCTGCTGTCATTAAACGACTAGCTGAAATGCAACATTTCATGTCATAGGTATTGGTGTAGTCTTAATTATAATGTACACTTCACACGTTTTAATATGTCTGGTGTTGCATTATCTTATGCCTCATGGCCAATTGGATCTCCCTACATGCTGCTCCTACTGAGATTTATTCAGCGCCTTGGTCCGTCCTCCCGACATGAAAGGCGCTATACAAATGTAATCTTGTTGTCATATTAATCCAGCACTGACCTATGCTCAAACCTGTGACTATATGCCCTAGTGCAGAACTGGAGCCCCCAGTCATCAGGGAGAGATAATCGCTATCTTTCTATTTCTCTCCAAATTTGATGCCAGACAGTATTTTACCTGGCTCTGTCTGAATAGCCTTCAGGCAAACGGTTAGCAGTTCTGGATTCTGTAAGTCAAGAGCTGGCCTTCAGCTAACATCCACTCTTTGGATAAGCTGTTGCTCATCCAAGGAAAGTGTAGTCATAGTGATCAGTTAAAAGTTACTTTCTGATGACTAGCTTTTAAATATATTCATGATTATGACCTTAAAATTAGATATGTCTACAGTGTCTTAGCTGCCATAAGATTCTGAACTGTTTCCATTCTGTGAATGGCATTTCTGCAACTTTTGCATATTGACCAAAATCAGGAATTAAACACTCCACATTTAGAGAAGTTATAGCCAGGCTTGATGTAATTGCATTTTCCCACTCTGTTGATTTGCCTATTGCTGAGGTTTTCTGGTACAATGACAGACCTAAATGTGGGCAACAGCATTTTTCACTTTAGCAAATGAAGGATACATTCTGCACGTCACACGGTCAGTTTTGAGAAAGCACTGACATAATACAACAAACAACAACTTTTATTTATATTGCGTCATTCACATATAGGATAACATCTCAAAACACTTCACAATGATGGGGTTTGTACATATGAACAAGAGAGAAAAGGGGAGATGTGCATAGGTACAGTTAAAGAGATAGGTTTTTAGGTGGGATTTAAATACTGATAGATAGAGTCTAGATGGCGTGAGATCTAGCGGTTAGTGACATAGTATCTAAAGGCTGTCATCTGATGAAAGATTGCACCCAGCTGGGTTTAATCTTAGCCACTTGGAAAACATCTACTTAAAATAATCTGGTAAATACAAAAAAAATTCATTGGTGATTGAGATTGCACTGCGCCTTAAATTTCCCTTTATCATTACAACAGAGGGCGCTCTTCTTATACTCCGTATTATGATACACTCACTACTCATGAATAACCCGTGAAATGTCAGGAACCTCAGCATAATAGTGGCATTCTTCTACATTGCCAATACTCATCAAATCCTGTACAACAAGCTGCACAGAACCAGCCCACAGTGAAGCCCTGCTCTGTGAATTCTAGTCTCTCATTTGAAGTATGATCTTAGCTCCCTGAGGTCCATGGTTTTGACACTCTCAAACACTCTCCCTTGCCCTTTTCACCTTTAGCCTACCACACTGCTCAAGCCAGGTCAACGCACACTTCAAATATGCCCTGTCTTTGACTTTTGCACAGAATATAGCTGTGTGCCATGTCTCAGCATTTTAAACTTGTTAACAGGCTATCAGCTGCCTCTTTGTGGTTTGTTAGTAGATTTGCATCCTTGCTCTCTGCCTGTTGCTTTCGCTTCCCTTCTTTGTTTTCTTGACCATGTCTCGACTTGTCTTCATCAAGTTCACACTTGAGATTTTAACTACCTCTCACTTTGAGATTAGGTTTGACAGATATGCTTTTCCAGTTTTGGGTTTCTATTTTTTTCTTCTGGTTTTGGTTTCTCCCTACACCTACATCACCTCACTGAATGCACACTACCATGATTCACAACAGAGCTGCTGTCTCTGCTGCTACAGAAGCAACCTTCATGATGATAAAATGTCATTTTTATGTTGACCCTGCTAAAAATGTCACTTAACCAATGAGGATCGTGATTTAATGTTTTATTCCGATTACTTCCACTAAGGTACATTTCCAACATACAAGTGTACAGATACAAGCATACAGATACAAGTGCTCTGAGCGCTATATAAATGCAAGCTGTTGTTGTTATTACTTCTTCAACACTTGAACTACTTATGTAATGACTGACGAGGATTGCGGTTGTCAGGGGCAATCCTTGTATAGGCTTTATTCTTTCTGAAGCAGCTCTACGTCTCTCCACTGCAAATGCTTTCAATTTACACAGCAATAAATACTGAATGCATAGGGGAGGTGGTGAACTTGAAAAAAAACAGCCTCAGCTTACATGTTGTCTCTCGCCAACATAATTAAGTACAAACTCATTAATATTCACGAGCTCCCAACATTTGCAGTACAGAAGACACTGGAACATAAAAATGGTAATTCTCTCAATATTCTTCACATATGAAATCACTTAACAATATATTATTGATATATAGGACACCCGAGTAGTGTGAGTCATGGCAATAATCCCACCTACAGGCATGCACATTTTATTTAATTTTGTTTTCAACCACATCAGCAATTCTTGTGGTGTTCAGCTTCACGGCGTGTCAAAATAATCCCTAGCGGTTGGACCCTTGATATACACCTGCTGTGCTCTTTATTGCGTAAGTTAATTGCATCTCTAAACTAGCATTAAAGAGCTGCTGAAAAACGACTCCTTTGCAGTCACAAAAGTGCAATTAAAGTATGGAATGCATTAATTATTATTGCTAGGTGCACTTCGCATGGACATGATCAAAGATGTTAGATGGTACTCGAACAGCAGAGCAACTAAATAATAA